CACCCGCCACCCACCACAGCCGGCCCAAGTCAGTGATAGTGATAATAATAGTGAGGATATGGACTTATATGGACTTTGAGGGGTTTGACAAAGAGGCCCTGCAAGCCTCTGTGGTGGATAGTGTTACAAGTGATACAGGTGAGGGCCAATAATCTGGCCTTTGCCTCGGAACCAACCCCCCATACCCGTGTGCCCAGCCATCTTTTCTACTAATGTAAGTGTTAAAAAACCTAATATTATTGATATTTCTCTTAATTATTAATTGTGTGTGCATACCATCATAAAATTAAGAAGTTATTTTTACTACAACGTAGGTATTGTGTCTGAAAAAGTGGAGTTTGGGGGTCGGCCCGGTCTCTATTTCAATTAATCCCATATGTTATGTTGTCCACTTACGCGTTTCTCACTTTACGCGGGCCGCCGTGGGTTGAATTAACCGCGTAAAGTGAGGGTTCACTGTATACTACAGTATTGTTAATAATGGGACACTTTGATTGCTGATATATTAATGAATTTCAACCAAACATTTCAACATTGCTACATTCAGGGAGTCACAGCTTTCTCTTTGGTTATAGCTTGCACCTGGAGGTTCACATGCCAACAACATTCCAATGATAGAAGGAAGCAGCAAGCAACAACTTAGGAATGAATCATGGCATTTCCCTCTGCAGATCATGTTTGCTATACTGAATTAACCTCAAAATAAAATATGTACACTACTAGCTGAAACTGTACTACCGAACAGTTATGGTACATACTGTACAGGGGGTGCCCGACTTACAAACATCTGACTTATGAACGCCCGCCGATAAGAACGGGGTTAAACTTTAAATTTACAGTACAGTATAGTCTCGATTTACGCGGATTTGGTTTATGTGTTTGGTCATTTAACGGCACCTTGCCAGACCGACAATTTTTATTTACGCGGTTCATTCCATCATTTATGCGGGAAGCGGCGCAGGCAGGATGCGCACAAGGTCGCCCAGTCAACAAAACATTACCGAGTTCTTCACCCGCCACCCACCACAGCCGGCCCAAGTCAGTGGTAGTGATAGTAAGGATATGGACTTTGAGGGGTTTGACAAAGAGGCCCTGCAAGCCTCTGTGGTGGATAGTGATACAGGTGATACAAGTGAGGGCCAATAATCTGCCCTCTGCCTCGGAACCAACCCCAATCCCCGTGTACCCAGCCATCTCTTCTACTAAGTAAGTGTTAAAAAACCTAATATTATTTATATTTCTCTTAAATATTAAGTGTGTGTGCAAACCATCATAAAATTAAGATGTTATTTTTACTACAACGTACGTAAAGTATTGTGTCTGGGTGAATTATAATTTGTTTATTTACTGAAGATTTTTGTTTTTAGCTCATAAAATTCATAGAAATTATCCGGCCAGAATATAATTTCCATTGCTGGAATTCTTATAAGATAATGATTAATTTGAATATAAACAAGCTAAAATTTGCATTAGACATACAAATTTTAGATCTAATTTAAGAATTTTATTCGAGAGCAAAACTTTTATCTTTTGTGCAAAAAATATATGACGTTTATAATCAAATTATTCGCAGTCTTGCAAGGAATCCAGCAATGTCAACTATATTATCCTAAACATAGTGTGAGGTATTATTTATTACTATACCTAAAACCTAATGTTTTCACCCAAACATTTCACAGGAAGGGAGGAGCCAGCGAGCGTGGGAAGAGGAGTTGAGTCCATTATTTGAAAGGACATTAACCAGTGAAAGTATTTCTCTTAAATATTAATTGTGTGCATACCATCACAAAATTAAGATGTTATTTTTACTACAACATACTATTGTGTCGAAAAAAGTGTAGTTTGGGGGTCGGCACAGTCTGTATTTCAATTAATCCCATATGTTCTGTTATTTCGTTTACGCGTTTCTCGTTTTACGCGGACCTCCACGGGTTCAACTGACTGCGTAAATGAAGACTATACAGTCAACCCTCGCTTTACGCGGTCCCACATTCCGCGTTTCCACGTTAACGCGGTGCCCTGCCAGAACCTAACGTGCTCACATTACGCGGTGCGTGAACCCCATTACGCGGAGAGTGTCCGGCACGACGCTATTTTTAGATTCGCCCCACCCGCCTGCCCACCTGTGCTCTCGCCTCTCCCTCCTCCTCCCTCCCTCCCTCCTCCCTCCGCCTGGGCAAGCCGTGCAGTAAGGTTGCGCAGTGTGTGTCTATGTTGCGTTATCACTGACGTCATATGACGTATCGGACTGTGATTGGCCATGCATCCCTACCCCCCTCTGCTGCTAGCTGTAATTGGCTTAAAGTATTATGACGTGTCCACCCGGGGGAGGGAGGGAGGGAGGAAAGACGATGCTTGACCTAGACGCGCCAGTTTCATCCCTCCAGGCCAGACCGTGTAAACGTGTATCCATTGTTCTGTAAAATGGCTTCCGCCGGACCACCGCCCCTAGAGAGAAACCTTTCCTTACCTGGACCCAGCGGCACTAAGCCAAAGAAGACACGACGTTCCTTAAGCTACGAGGTGAAGTATACCATCATCCAAGAGTTGGAGAAAGGAATAAGGCAGGTTGATTTGGCGCGCCAGCATGGTGTGAATGAATCTACGATTCGAACAATAAAGAAGGATGCAGCCAAGATAAAGGAGCACATGAAGATCACAAAGTCTACAGGTGCTTCTATGATCAAGTATTTTCACAACCAGGTGCTTCTCAAGAGAGAAAAATTACTTGTGAGGTACTTGGTGTGTCAGGCGCGACGGAACATGGCGGTCGACACGCGCTCTGTTAAGGAGTACGCACGTGAACTGTACATTGCAGTGGCACGAAAGATGGGAAGTACAGAGCCCAAACCCTTTAATGCTTCCTCTGGGTGGTTACAGAGGTTTAAGATCCGGAACAAGATCGCCAATATAAACATTGGTGGTGAAGAAGCGAGTGCTGACCGTGCTGCGGCTAGGGAATTTCCTCCGTTTTTACGTGAGATTATGGAGGAAGGACAGTACACCAACGACCAGGTGTTTAACATGGACGAATCTGGTCTTTTCTGGAAAAAGCTACCTTCCAAGTCCTTCGTTGTAAAGAATGCCAGCAAGATTCGGGGCCGGAAGATGCAGAAGGAACGCATCACTGTCCTGTTTACCACCAATGCCTCCGGTACCTGTAAGCTCAAGTTATCGGTGATCCACACAGCACGCAAATCGCACGCCTACAAAACCATGGACATGACCAAGCTAAATGTCCACTGGCTGACCGCACGTAAGGTGTGGATGTTCTCTACACTGTCCCTCTCCTGGTTTGATGACTGTTTTGTTCCCGATGTAAAGAAATTCTGTGAGCGACAGAATGTCCCATTCAAGATTTTGTTGCTGCTGGACAATGCACCAGGATACTCGCCCCTACTGTTAGATCGTCACCCCAACGTAAAAGTGGTCTTCCTTCCTCCCAACACTACGTCTATATTACAGCCCATGGACCAAGAGTTAATCTGTAATGTAAAAGCTGCATTCTCTACGAAAAAATTCAAGCTCCTGAACGACTACACCAACACCAGGGAAGAGTTGCTTAACCTGAGTGACACCACCACTGATAGCAAGAGCGAAGAAGATGAGGATCAACAGTTGGCACAGCAAAAAATACTGTTCAAACAATTCTGGAGAGTATTTAACATCAAGAAAGCTGTGGACTTCTTGGTGGAGGCATGGGATCAGCTGTCTATTGCTACAATTCGTCACGCATGGAGACATGTGTTGCATGGAATACCAGGTGAGAGGAGGAGTCAATCTGTGACTGGTGAGGTTCAGACTGTTGCAGTAGCAGTGGACCTTGCCAGAGAAGCTGCGCAGACTGTTACAGTTCCAGGCTTCTGCGAGACCACCAACAACGACATCATGGAGGTGATAATGGAACCTGATGTGACTACCGAGGAGATGGTACATGATGATGACGATGTCAGTGAAGAGGCAGGTGGTGCGTCATCCCAAGAAGAACAACACTTATCCCATAGTAATGTTTGGGGTGCCATCGAGTGTATCGAGAAAGCCAAGCTCCTCCTTTCCGACGACCCTGACGCAAACAGGTATGAAATCTTCACTACCCAGCTGTTGCAGACTATGGAGCCCTACATCAAGGTGTATCACGACAACATCAACACCAGCCGTCAGCAAAGCATAACAGATTTCTTCGCCCGCAACCCACTACAGCCAGCCCAAGCCAGTGATAGTGACAGTGAAGATGACTTTGAGGGATTTGTCAGGGAAGCCCTGACAACTGTAAGTGACAGTGATGGTGATGCACCTAGTAATGGTGATTCACCTGAGGGCCAGTAGCCTGCCCTCTGCCTTGGAACCAGCCTCCATCCCTGTACGCCGACCCATCTCTTCTACTAACGTAAGTGTTCCACCTAACTTAAAGTTTTCCTAACCTAACCTTTATTTTTCCTATGTTAACCTTTATTTTTCCTAACCTAACCTCTTCTATATTACTTGTTTTTTCATACCATCATAAAGTTAAGATAAAATTTTTACTACAACATAGTTGTGTGTCGTCAAAAAGTGGAGTTTGGGGGTCGGCCCGGACTCTATTTCAATTAATCCCATATGTTATGTTATTCACTTTACGCGTTCCTCACTTTCCGCGGGACCCTGCGGGTTACATTAACCGCGTAAAGTGAGGGTTGACTGTACTGTATTTTATTGACCTGATGACCATTTTTTACTTTCATTTACTGTATTTTGTCATTCTATTTCTTCGTTTGTCTTAAATTAAGTTATTTTAGATGTATATAAGGACTTAGGTTATGATATAGTGGAATTTTAAACATTGTTCTGTAAGTATGGTATGCATATAGCATGTGTTCCGACTTACGTACAAATCTGACTTAGGAATGTCCTCAGGAACTGAACCCGTTCATAACCCAGGGACCCCCTGTATAAACAAAGAGTTGGCATGTACTGTATGTATGTGTACAGCAAATTATTAAAAAAATTTCATATAACCTTACCTTCAGTCTAACATTTGATAAGACATGAAGAAACGTTGTACGATGATTGTTCCACTTGAGTGATAAAATTTCCTCTGTCATTTTTGCTGTCCTGCAAAAAAAAAAAAAAATTATTTACCACTGAAGCCTTGGATCAGAGTTTTTGGAGAAAATATGACTAAATCTGAAAGCTTATATTCTAGTGAGGTGTGCAGACAGGTGATTCTTTCATGTATAAGCCATTTTAGGGAGCTAGGAAAGTAGATTGCACGCACGCACGCACGCACGCACGCACGCACACACGCACGCACACACGCACGCGACGCACGCATTCACGCACGCACGTACGCACGCACGCATCGCACGCACGCACGCGCACGCATGACGCACGCACGCACGCACGCACGCACGCACGACGCACGCACGCACGCGCACGCGACGCACGCACGCACACGCACGCACGACGCACGCACGCACGCGCACGCACGCACGCACACACACACACACACACACACACACACACACACACACACACACACACACACACACACACACACACACACACACACACACACACACACACACACACACACACACACACACACACACACACACACACACACACACACACACACACACACACACACACACACACACACACACACACACACACACACACACACACACACACACACACACACACACACACACACACACACACACACACACACACACACACACACACACACACACACACACACACACACACACACACACACACACACACACACACACACACACACACACACACACACACACACACACACACACACACACACACACACACACACACACACACACACACACACACACACACACACACACACACACACACACACACACACACACACACACACACACACACACACACACATATTATAAAAATTATCAGCAACTTGTAATCAACCAGTGTATGTATTCACTCCCAGCCAATTTTACCTTTTTGCATGGTCACTATGTTGAAATGCCCTGTAGTATTAGGGTGTGTCATAGGAGGGAAGATCAGCTAAAACTAATGGCCCATCACTTTTTTTGGTAGATTTTAGTGTATATAAACAGAAAATAATTTCAGTTTCAATATTTTGCAACCTTTTGCTAGGTAAATTTTAGCGTGAAATTTATCGAAAATCTAACGTACAGCTGCATTAGTGCATTACAATTAAATAGTGAACATTACTTTCTGACTTCATTCTTTAACAACCCAACTAACAATATTTTTTTCTGTTTCAGATTCTGATGCATTTATAAGTTGTTAATATTTGCGATGGCTGCTTGTGTCAGGACGAGGAACCAAAAATCCAGCCATCTCAGTCACTATCTTGGGTCTGGGAGAGAGCTCCTGAAGTCGGAGTTGCCTACATTGAGAGATGCTTTGAGATACGGTGTTTTAATCAGGCAAATCAGTGAAAAAGAACCAAAGAACTTACACAAACAAAGACATTGCCAGTGATATGACCAAAGCTGTCTTGGCACAGTACACTCTGGCTAACGCTCAGTTCAAGCCTCCAGTCATAACAAGTCAGAAGAAGATTAGTGAGAGACTGCTAGCCAGTTGGGAAAAGGCAAGAGATATCTCTCTTGGGAGAGGAAAACTTGCAGTTAAGGACAGCTTTGCCAAGCAACTGGACCAGTTATTTGACATAATTACTTGCAAGTGCCCATTGTTCTCTGTCCTGAGTTTGGATGCGATCGTGACTGTAAATCCGAGGCCCACATGTCATGTGGACATGTCCTGGCGCCTACCAACCACTGCCCCACTGCCTTGCTGATTAACCTTGGCAGGTATAAGGCTATGGGAGTAAACCCAAACGAAAAATCTGCTGTGGAGCCCCGCATTAGGCATAATGCTTACAGAGCTCCAACAAGACCCCAATGGCAGTATAGGCAGAAGAGGCTACCACCATGGGAACCCAACGACTACACCGGCGGATGAAGGCAATGTCAGATAGACAGGCTACTAAGGCGAAACCCAACAAACTGGGGTCAACTCACAGAACGAGGGTCTGGCTACACCTTCTTCTGGAAGGGTAAACCTGCTGCAGAGAGAAACCGCATTTATGGAGTTGGCTTTGCCATTCGCCAACACATCCTACACAGGCTAACTCAAATGCCTATTGGGATCAACGAGAGCTTCATGATGCTCCGAGTCCCACTGAATTACTCACGTCATGCCGACCTCGACAGAGTGCTAACCTCTATCCCCAGAGAAGACAAGGTTGTGCTCCTTGGCGACTTCAATGCCAGAGTTGGCAGAGAAGCTAACATTTGGCAGTGAACCATAGGGAGATATGGACTAGGCAAGTGTAATCCCAATGGCCTACTCCTCCTCAGCAAGTGTGCTGCACACAACCTCACTATCACCAATACCTTGTTTAGGCAGGCCGACAAGTTTAAGGGTTCGTGGCAACACCCACGACCCAAACACTGGCATCTCATTGACTACATCATTGTCAGAGTAAGAGATCACCTGTGCAGATTCTTCTTGATGCATTACAGATTGCCAAGTTGACGTATCACTTAACTCCTATTTTAATGATCATGAGGTGGAATACTATTACCCTCTATTGGAGTCGAATCTCACGCACAATGCTATCCTTATCCACATACCTACGCTGGGGCAGCATAAGTTTAATGCATGGCATTTAGAACCCTTCCCTTGGCCTGTTAACGACACACTGTATGCTCTGGATAGGCCTAAAGAACTTTTGCTTGTAGAAGAATATTCTTTATTGGCATTAGATGATCCTAGGGTACTATTGCGGTATAAGTCGTCATATCTACACTTACACGTATGTCCAGCCTATATTTTCGCATTTATTCCTGCTGCAGAAGGGATATGTGAATTGGCAGTCATACAAACTAATGTACGCACAGCACTTACGCAATGTAGCTATAGGCCAGTTGGTGTAAAACTGTGTTTCACGGTCATCTCCATAATGTGCAATACTTTTTCTTTCCTAATGACACTACTGTTATTTTAAAATGCCACGATGGTGGTAAGCAGTTATAGTTGTGAAAGGTCATTACAAGGCTCCGGATTACTGTGAAGTAACTTTTAGTTCATTACGGACCTTGCCTACTTATCAGCATTTTGCTTTGAATTTAAATCTCACTTCTGATTTAATTCCCTAGTTTCCTGTTATGAACTTTACTGTAAGTGACCTTCAGATTGTTTCAAAGAAATTAAAACTTATTTCCTACTTGAAAGAATCCCAATTTGCTGATTTGAGTAATAATCTGCCATTTTATTTTTCACAGGGATTTGCAATGCCAAGTCTAACAATTCCCACAATTATGTTAATTCTGGCAGTTATGTTTCTGTTTTGTTATTATAAGTCAGTGTCATCCAAGTTGATAATTGTACACAACATACTAACCCGTAAGACACTTAAGTCTAGGACCCCTGTAGTCGATGAAAACCCTACGGTTTCAGAGTCCCCAGCTTAGTGTTTACATACATGTTTGTAACATGGTTAGGTTTATGTATAGGATGTAGTCTGCGAGTTTATTTAATCCTCACGGAGCTTGGAAGGCAGGTGACCGAGAGATGTAATAGCCCCTGTCTCCACAACAGAAAGATTATATAAATGGTTTAATTACATTTGATTTATATACTGATTCACCCCCTGTAACTTTCCACTGGCTATGAGTTGTCATGTTGTTATCACGTGATTGGTAGCTTCCTTGGAGTGAGCCCAGTGACTGCTTGGGTCAGCATGGGAAAGCCGGCACCCAAGAGGTCAGTCCCACTCAAACTCTCACATTAGAAGGACATGATTAAACGGTCTATTTACATAGCCCCTGTCCTTCTCTTCACACTCAAAAATAGTGAAAGTTACGGTTGATATACACTCGGGAATTGTACAAACAACAGTTCCTCAATAAAAGGAGAAACAGACAATTGGGTTTCGCTACTAAAACCCAAAATAATATAAACGATCAGGCCTATAGACGTAGGCCTAATTCATATATATATCACAAGCCCAAGACGACAGCTTCAACTGGTGAGTACAATACAGTAGTGTATACAGTACAGTACTCCCTCTTTATCGACGGATTTTTTATCGGCGGTTTCGACTATCGACGGATTATTTAGCCGGGATTTTTATTTTGGCTTTATTTGAACTCCGCGGGCCTTGTTTGTACTTTCGCCGCTAGGCGGCACTAGTGGCGTGACTAGCGCCTACCCGCGGCCCGCCTTCCCTGAACACAAACATCAGCCAAGCCGAGTGGGCAACAGTCTTTGATTTTCAACTTTTGCTGGTGGTTCATCACATGAACTTATATCACTATGCCTCCCAAACGACCTGCTGCTCCCTCTGGATCTACACCTAAGAGGGCAAGACGAGTGCTGACGCTGAATGAGAAGAATGAAGTGCTGAAACAACTCGACAGCGGTATGAGCTATGCAGCTGTTGGCCGCCACTTTGGGCTCAACGAATCCAGTGTGCGTGGAATTAAACGACGTGCAAAGGATCTGAAGCACGCTTTAGCTTCAAGTGCACCAGTGACATCAAAAGTGACAAGCCATGTGCGTGATGATGCCCTCATTAAAATGGAAAAAGCACTGAACATTTGGATAGAGGACCTAAACCGCCGCCGCATACCACTTGACTCGAAATTTATTAGGCAGAAAGCTAAGGAACTTTATGATAGGTTTTCTAAAAGTGATGATCATGGTGTTGGTGATGGTGATGGTGATGATCAGGGTGATGGTGATGGTGACAATTTGAAAAAATTTGCAGCTAGCAAAGGATGGTTTGAGAAATTCAGACATCGTTATGGGCTGCATAATATAAAAGTGACTGGCGAAGCAGCATCAGCAGACACTGTGGCAGGGGAAGCATACCCTGCAGAGTTTGCTAACCACATAGCACAAAAGGGTTATAGGCCGGAACAAGTTTTTAATGCTGATGAGACAGGCCTATGGTGGAAGAAGATGCCACGCCGAACCTACATCTCTAAAGAGGAAAAAAGTGCCCCTGGATTTAAAGTTGCGAAGGACCGAGTGACAGTGATGCTATGTGGGAATGCGGCAGGGCATATGATTAA